TTCCCAGAATCAAATGTATTGACTTTCCTTTGTTTGGTTAAGTTCTACTTAGTTCTCTCTAAGCCATAATTAATAAGCTATGACTCAAATTTTCCCAGACATATTAATCACATGGCAGATGTTTGCTGCCTAAAGGGATACTGTCTTGTAAAGGATAGCTGTAAATAGAAGAGTTAATTAAGCCTAAAATCCACTTGTTAGATTTACATGAAAGTGTGGACCTAATACTATTGTACAATCTAGCAGAACTTGTGCTTTGACCATATTTTATTAAGTAAAGCTTAAAAACCTTCATTTGAAACAAAACAAATTATTTTGTTTTATAGTATTTGAATGATTTTCACTATGTATTTCAGATCTCTTTTAGAGGTATTCTCAGATTACAGTTTGACATAAATCAACAAAACATGTCACTGTCAGATGTGGCATGAATTTAAGCAAAGGGAATATGTAATATTAGAGAGAGGAGGACAAAGACTTCTAAGAAAATCAAATAATACACACAAAATCACAGGGACTCCAAAAGATTAAGTCAAATTTCATTAAAACAGACTGAGATACAGATAATGGGAGGTAAAGCTGAAAAGATAGAGTTTGATGAGATCAGAAAGAGACTTTTATGATACATTCAGGCAAGTTTACTTTCCTACAAATGGGTTTTACCCAGGATCAGGAGAGGACCGACCGATGGAAGCAGTACTTTAGGAAAATTTAATCTGGTAAAGTATTTGAAATTGTAGCAATAGAAGGGTTTTCTGAATTCCCAGTTTTAATTACCACTATGCATACTCTGATCATTCCCAAATATTTATTGCTAATCCTTTAATACTCACTCACTATGCAAAAATAAAAATACAAGTGTATGGTTATCTGACAAGACTCTTAAGTTCAAAGTATCCAAAACACAAATTTTAAACTCAAAGTATTCTTCTAACCATATTTTCTATTCTTCTCAGTGACACTACCATCCACCTTGCCATAGATGCCTCACTCCACATCTGATAAGTGTCCAGTTTGGTTATTCTGCCTTTTAAATCCCTCTCGTGTCTGGCTGTTGTGGTCTGTATTCCCACTGCACTGCCTTAGGTCAAGACTGCTTCCTCAATTGACCTCTAGCTGATAGTTTCTTCTTCCAATACTTCCCATTTGTAGTTTATGCTACACCCTGCTTCCCTATAATTTTAAAAATAAAAAATAAGTAAACAATTGAGTAAATAGGTAAATAAACAAAAGTTTGAGGTTAGACAATTCTTTCATGTCATTGTTCAAGTTATTCAAGTCTCTCGCACCTAAAGGGCAAAATTCACGCATTTTACCTATCTCACAAGAAGGTGATGGAAAACTAAACTAGTGCCCAATGGTGGAGGAGGAAATGGCAACCCACTCCAATATTCTTGTCTGGAGAAGTCCATGGACAGAGGAACCTGGCAGGCTATCGTCCATGGGATCGCACAGAGCCGGACACGACCGAGCAACTAACACACACACAGTACAAAATGGACCAGAACCACCTGCAGATTGCAAATCGATTCAGAAGACAGGCTGCCTCTAAATAGCCAGCATAATGACATGAATCAGCTTTACACACACCCTGAACATGACGCCCTGCGTCATCTCACTTCTGCCCCGCCTTCAACTGGGGCGAGGCTGCTTCCACAGACCCAGCTTGTGCTCCAACATTGTGCAGTAGGTATTGTTTTGGTCCTCGCAAAGTGCAGAGCTTCATAGCTCATCTTATGGCCCAGCTTTGGTAATAACATGGCATATCCAGGCATGCATTTCAAAGCATAAATTTTCTTCTTCATAATATCTTTATCTCACAATATCTTCATAATATCTCATTTCATCCTTAATAAATATAGTAATCCTAAAATACATATATATATATCTATTGTGTATGAATCTATGTATTTTATGATATCTATATGATATGTAAGTATTTAGGATGTAAACACACATGTGTGTGTGTGTGTGTGTGTGTGTGTGATGCTGAAATGCCCCAAGCTCTTCTTCATTATACTCACTGTCCTGAAAGTCTCAACCTGTCCCATGGCTATAAATGCCATCCCTATGCTGATGACTTCCTAATGTGTGTTTCTAACCTAGAATGCCCCCTTGAACATCAATGATGCATCTGCCATCTACTTGCCATTTTCACTTGCATGACTAATAGGTGTGCAGATTATACCTAATCTCTGCATAACCAATCTCCCAATAAGCCTCCATGCTATTCTCCAATACAGCCTCACCCATTTCAGTTGATGTCAGCTCCACCTTCTCATTTGTTCAATCCAGGAATCCTAGAGTCATGCTGGACTCCTCTCTTTCTCTCACACCCCTGTCCAACACATCAGGAATTTTTGCCAGGTTTGTCTTCAGATTAAGTCCAGAATTAGGCCACTTTCTCAACATTGCCACTGCTAGGACCCTAGTTCAAGTGGCAATTTCCACCTGAGGGTTAATTACTTCAGTAATAGTAAGCTTTCACAGGTCTCCCTGCTTCCAGCTTTGCCTTTCTGCAGTTTATTCAGCTGAATTACCCTTCTAAATCTGTCTGTAAGGTCACTCTTTGCTCAAGAAACCAGCAGTCGTTGCCACTTTCACTTAGATGAAAAGCTGAAACCCTCCTAATGGCCTTCCAGTTCTACAGCACCCTTTGTGATCTTCCGTCCGCAGGCCCCAAGCTGGCCTCTCTCCCACCTCTGCCCTGTCCTCATACTGTGCTCTCCCGGGCTCGTTCTGCACCACACACCTGAGTTCTCTCCCCTCGGCCTGGAAGATTTAGACCTCTACACCTGCTTACGGCCTCCACTGCTTCCCTCTACGCCTTCACTGCCTTCAGGTCTTTGGTCAAATCGTATCTTATCTGTGAAGCCAACCCTGACTGTCCTGTTTAATATCACCGTGTTTCCATCCGCTCCCATCCTGGGTGTCTACCTACCCACTACACTATTCTCCAGGGCACCTATCACTTTGCAACAAACTATACAACTGACTTATTTGTTGGGTTTATTCCTGTTGAGCATCTCTCCAGCTAGAAATTAAGTTTCATGAAGAATAAGACTTTGTTTTGTTGACTGATGTAAACAAGTGAACACGTGTTCATAATAATGCCCGGCATATATTCAGAGCTCAATAGCTATTTATTAAGTGTTGAATATACATGTAACTTGAAAGTCACCTCAAGTACTCTCTTTATGAATGAAAGTGAGTCTTCTGTATCATGAAAACACCCCCACATCTCGTGGGTTGACCTCTTCTCAACCTTTCATCCCTCAGACTCCTCACTGTGATGCAAACCCAAGAATACACCACACACATAAAATCCTTCAGATGCAGGCTAAGTACTACCTTTTATTTGAGGCTTTTCAGGCTTTCAGAGAGATGAAATTGCTGTGTCTTCTCTAGTAACACTGTAAGCTGTATGTATTTTAGTAGAGCTTAATTATTTTACTTTATGTTCTATTTAAATGTCTGTCTGTAGGGTATTTCTATTTAAATATATATGCTCAGATCATGAAATCCTAGAGAACAGAGTCCATATCTTATGCATCTTTGAATAGCCAGACCTAAAACAGTATAGATACTACTTAAATGTTCACTGATTTAGGGGTTCATTGAATAAAGTGCTGGGAGAGACAAGAACACTGAATCACATTCAAACTCAGCTTATAACTTGGGATTCTGCCAGTGCTGCCCATCGACCTCTAAAAGAAAGAGCCTAGCTTTCTGGAGGTCACACTCAGCACATCAAGGACCAGTGTCCTGAAATTATGGTCACACTGAAGCATGACCTTCAGCTGAGAGTTTCTTGGGTCCATTTCTGGGGGCGGCTCCATCTTCCTTTGTTGGTCCACAGAACCTGGTGCTCATGGTGGTCTATGAAGATTGAGTAGCTTTGGACTATAGGAAGAGCCATCTGTAGACAATGTATTAAAAATTCCCAAGACACTGAGGAGGATCCCAGGTTTTAAGGAATGCCTGGAGCTAAGCAAATAAGAAAAGCTGCTTTGAGACACTGTCCTTAAACTGCATTGGTGAGTTAGGTAATATGCATGAAAGGCAGACTAATTATTTCAACGACAGTGTTTAATGATGGATCATGTCCTTCTCTGGTGGTCATCCTGTGACATGCTTGCATTTCATTAATGAGATAAAGTTTTCATAAACTAGCACATCTACACTGAGTGACATCTGCCATGAAGCCAAGGAGCCCATGACCGGATGCATTTTTTGAGCCTGTCTGGAAAGCCCTTTGAGTTTCATTCTCAGTGGAAAGCTTGGTCTAGATTCCAAGAGTTTAAAATAAACATCTTAAAGGAAAGCTTGAATAAAATACTTCATTTTCCAAGTTTAAAAACAGCACCAAGAAAACAGCATCAACTTGACTCAAAAATCCCTGAAGAAAGGAATTTTTTTTTTTTTGAGTCTGTTTTAAAAGTCCATTTTGATAAGTTCAATATAAAGTAAATACTACTCGAGGTACTCATATCTCACATATCCAATAAACCACAGTGTTTGCATTGCTTTTTAAAAGTGTTTATTTTAAACATAATGTCATGTCATTCCACAGTGCATTTAAGCCACACATGTGACAAACATGTTGAAAAAATGCATTTTGTTAGACTGGAAGCATCGCTTTGTTAAAAAGAATGCTCATGATAACGACTCTTTTCTCAACAGTTAAACACAGTCTGGTTCAAGAATACAGTTAGTAAACTGTACGTCTTACATGTGACAAATACATCAAACTTTGTTTACTCTTATTTTTAAGGAATTGTTATTTCCACCAGGAAGTAAACAAATAACTTTGGTTTGAATAGGCACAATATTTTAAATAAAATGTTGGCTTTCAAAAAGGAAGTATCAGTCAGGGTTCAGTTGCTGAAGCAGAACCTCTGTGAGACCCGGGCTAGGGATCAACTGTAAACATTAGACCTCACACGACTGCAGGAGAAGCTGAGGAAGGAGGAGCAGTCAGGGGGGCGGAAGGATCGAGTATGCAGTCACCCACCGGTGATCCGAGGAGTCCGAGTACACGCTATCACTGGGGAGCGAGGAGGACGCAGGCCCAGAGGGAGGTCTGTGGAGAGCTGAGCTTCTGCACCCCACCACTCCTGCCGGCGGCCGTGGGCGTCTGGAGGGGGCTGGGACTGGTGGTGGTCCGTGTGCTCGGCGGTCAGGAAGAAGAACTGGACAAGGAGGAGAGGAAGCGGGAACAAGCTGGAACCTACTGGTTCCTCTGTGTCTGTCACCACATCCGGCCACAGTGAATTTACTGGAGATTAATTATCTCCTCTTCACTGGGACCATCTCAGTCTCACACATGTCCTGTTTTGTTGTTTAGTCGCTCAGCCCTGTTGGACTCTCTGCGACATCATGAACTGCAGCACTCCAGGCTTCCCTGTCCTTCACAATCTCCCAGAGCTTGCTCAAACTCATGCCCATTGAGTCGGTGATGCCATCCAAGCATCTTGTCCTCTGTCGTCCCCTTCTCCTCCTGCCCCCAGCGTCAGTCTTTTCTAATGAGTCGGCCCTTTGATTCAGGTGGCCAAAGTACTGGAGCTTTAACATCAGCATCAGTCCTTCCAATGAATGTTCAGGATTGATTTCCTTTGGGATTGACTGGTTTGATCTCCTTGCAGTCCAAGGGACTCTCAAGAGTACTCTTCAACACCACAGTTCAAAAGCATCAATTCTTTGGCACTCACCCTTCATTATGGTCCTACTCTCACATCCACACATGACTACTGAAAAAAACCGTAGCTTTGACTAGACGGACCTTTGTTGGCCAAGTAATGTCTCTGCTTTTCAATAAGCTGTCTAGGTTTGTCATAGCTTTTCTTCCAAGGAACAAGCATCTTTTAATACCACGGCTGGAGTCACCATCTCCAATGATTTTGAAGATCAACAAAATAAAGTCCGTCACTGTTTCCATTATTCCCCATCTATTTACCATGAAGTGATGGGACTGGATGCCATGATCTTTGTTCTTTGAATGTTGAGTTTTAAGCCAACTTTTTCACTCTCCTCTTTCACCTTCATTAGGAGGACCTTTAGTTTCTCTTCACTTTCTATCATTAGGGTGGTATCATCTGCATATCTGACATTATTGATATTTCTCCCATCAATGTTGATTCCAGCTCGTGCTTCATTCAGCCCACCATTTCACAGGATGTAACCTGCATAGAAGGCAAATAAGCAGTGTGATAATATATAGCCTTGACTTGCTCTTTTCCCAGTTTTGAATCAGTCCATTGTTCCATGTCCGATTCTAACTTTTGTTTCTTGACCTGCATACAGGTTTCACAGGAGGCAGGTAAGATGGTCTGGTATTCCCATCTCTTTAAGAATATTCCACAGTTTGTTGTGATCCACACAGTCAAAGGCTTTGGCATAGTCAATAAAGCAGAAATAGATGTTTTTCTAGAATTCTTCTGCTTTTTCTGTGATCCAGTGGAAGTTGCAAATTTGATCTCTGGCTCCTCTGCCTTTCTAAATCCAGCTTGTACATCTGGAAGTTCTCGGTTCATGTACTGTTGAAGCCTGGCAAGGAGATTTTTTGAGGATTACTTTGCTAGCATGTGAGATGAGTGCAATTATGTGGTAGTTGGAACATTTTTTGGCATTGCCCTTCTTTGGGACTGGAATGAAAACTGACCTTTTCCAGTCATGTGGCCACTGTTTTCCAAATTTGCTGGCATATTGAGTGAAACACTTCAACAACATCATCTTTTAGGATTTGAGATAGCTCAGCTGGAATTCCATCACCTCCACTAGCTTTGTTCCTAGCGATGCTTCCTAAGGCCCACTATCTTCTCATTCCAGGATGTCTGGCTCTAGGTGTTGTCTAGATGTCTAACCATCATGGTTATCTGACTCATTAAGATATTTTTTGTATAGTTCTTCTGTGAATTCTTGCCACCTCTTCTTAATATCTTCTGCTTCTGTTAGGTCCATACCATTTCTGTCCTTAATTTTGCCCATCTGTGTGTCAAGTGTTCCTTTGGTGTCTCTAATTTTCTTCATGAGATCTCTAGTCTTCCCCATTCTACAGTTTTTCTCTATTTCTTTGCATTATCTTTAGGAAGGTTTTCTTATCTCTCCTTGCTATACTTTGGAACTCTGTATTCAAATGAGTTTATTTTTCCTTTTCTCCTTTGCCTTTCACTTCTCTTCTTTTTACAGCTATTTGTAAGGTCTCCTCAGACAACCATTTTGCCTTTTTGCATTTCTATTTCTTTAGAATGGTTTTGATCCCCACCTCCTGTGCAATGTTATGAACCTCTGTCCATAGTTCTTCAGGCACTCTGTCTATTAGATATAATCCCTTAAATCTATTTATCACTTCCACTGTATCAAAATAAGGGATTTGATTTAGGTCGTAACTGAAAGGCTTAATGATTTCCCCTACTTTCTTCAATTTAATTCTGAATTTGGCAATAAGGAGTTCAGGATCTGAGCCACAGTCTGCCCTGGTCTTGTTTTTGCTGACTGTATAGAGCTTCTCCATCTTCAGCTGCAAATAATATAATCAATCTGATTTCAGTATTGACCATCTGGTGATGTCCATGTATAGAGTCATTTTTTGTGTTGTTAGAAGAGGGTGTTTGCTATGACCAGCATGTGCTTTTGGCAAAACTCTGTTAGCCTTTGCACTGCTTCATTTTGTACTCCAAGGCTAAACTTGCCTGTTACTCCATGTATCTCTTGACTTCCTACTTTTGCATTCCAGTCCTCTATAATGGAAAGGACATCTTTTTGGTTGTTAGTTCTAAAAGGTCTTGTAGGTCTTCATAGAACGGTTCAATTTCAGCTTCTTCAGCATTAGTGGTCAGGCCATAGACTTGGATTACTGTGATATAGAATGGTTTGCCTTGGAAATGAACAGAAGTGATTTTTTTTTTTTGAGATTGCATCCAAGTACTGCATTTTGGACTCTTTTGTTGAGTATGATGGCTACTCCATTTCTTCTAAGGAAATTTTGCCCACAGTAGTAGGTATAATGGTCATCTAAGTTAAGTTTGCCCATTCCAGTCCATTTTAGATCACTGATTCCTAAAATGTCAATGTTCACGCTTGCCATCTTGTTTGACCACTTCCAATTTACCTTGATTCATGGACCTAATATTCCAGGTTCCTATAAAATGTTATTCTTACAGCATGTGACTTTACGTTCACCACCAGACACATCCGCATGGGCGTTGTTTCCACTTTGACTCAGCCTCTTCATTCCTTCTGGAGCTATTTCTCCATTGTTTTCCAGTAGCATATTGGGCACCTACTGACCTGGAGAGTTCATCTTTCAGTGTCACATCTTTTTGCCTTTTTGTACTATTCATGTGGTTCTAAGGCAAGAATGCTGAGGTGGTTTGCCATTTCCTTCTCCAGTGGACCAGGTTTTGTCAGAACTCTCCACTACCATCCCACCCTTGGCCTACTCTAATCAAGAACCATAATGAAGGACCATCCCACCCCTTCCAGTCAAATTCTCCTTCCTTTTTTCTCCTGAAATGTCAATAATAGCAACCACTTCACTTAGCACCTGAGTGTACTTAAAGTGAATACATGTGTACAGCCTTACTACCAGATTACCTTTCCAACCACTACTGCTACTGGTCATCCACATTTTTGAAAACCAGACTGTCTTCATCTAGCAGTTTCCATATGACTTCCTTGTCCCACGCTCATCATTTCTTGTATTACATCCTGTGGAAATTGCACTATGACATTTAGATAACAATAAGTCTCCTTCCTCTGCACCTAGAAAGTTCTTATTGTTGAAGCAACCTTATGCATTCTATAGATTGAGAACTGGTGAACAAAGGTAGAAAATAAGTTTGGTGCCCCAGCTTCAAATAAGATCCCAGTAGTTTCATAGGGTCTCCTGATTTTTCTCTTGTTAGCTCTCTTACACAGGACTAATAAAGACTTTAAAAGACTGAGACTGGTCTTCCCATGGGGTTTCACATTTGCATCAATTGTTCTTTCCCCACCAAATCCCATGGGGGCAAAACAGAGGTAAATCTAGGTGGGAGCTGTACATACAGTAGGTTTGCATCACAGATGAGATTAGGAAACCACAGTCCTTTTTTTTTTTTTTTCATTTATTTTTATTAGTTGGAGGCTAATTACTTCACAACATTTCAGTGGGTTTTGTCATACATTGACATGAATCAGCCATGGAGCCACATGTATTCCCCATCCTGATCCCCCCTCCCACCTCCCTCTTTGATGGAATGCAAGCAACTGGGCCCAACATGTTATCTTTATTGTAATAATACTAATGTGCAAACAAATCAGCCTGTTTCAGAGGAAGAGACTATCTCTGTCCTCTAAGGCTGCTTGCTCTACCGATATCTCTGAAAAGTTAACCTGGAACCAGAGCTGTTGGGGTCATCCCTTTAAAAAAATTACAGAGGTATACTTAAGCCAATAGTACAAATAAAATGGAATCCTAAACAAAATTTTTGGGGGCTCCAAAATCACTGCAGGTGATGACTGTAGCCATAAAATTAAAAGACTTGCTCCTTGGAAGAAAAGCTATGACCAACCTAGACAGCATATTAAAAAGCAGAGCCATTACTTTGCCAACAAAAGTCCATCTAGTCAAAGCTATGGTTTTTCCAGTCATGTATGGATGTGAGAGTTGGACTATAAGGAAAGCTGAGCGCCAAAGAATTGATGCTTTTGAGCTGTAGTGTTGGAGAAAACTCTTGAGAGTTCCTTGGACTGCAAGGAGATCCAACCAGTCAATCCTAAAGGAAATCAGTCCTGAATATTCATTGGAAGGACTGATGATGAAGCTGAAGCGCCAATACTTTGGCCACCTGATGCAAAGAACTTACTCACTGGAAAAGACCCTGATGCTGGGAAAAATTGAAGGCAGGAGGAGAAGGGGATGACAGAGGATGAGATGGTTGGATGGCATCACCGACTCGATGGACATGAGTTTGGGTAAACTCCAGAGTTGGTGATGGACAGGGAGGCCTGGTGTGCTGCTGTCCATGGGGTCGCACAGATTGGGACATGACTGAGTGACTGAACTGAAACAAAATAATCAGTCATTCTAAAAGAAGGTTTAAAAGGAAGAAAAAGGAACAAAAAGTGCGCTAAATATAAAGCAAATTTCAACATGGAATTGTCTAATTCCATTGTCTAAATGGAATTATTGGTGTCCAAATAGATACCATTTTTTAAAAAATACAAAAAAAGAAAAATGCAGCTATAGGCTGTCTACCAGAAATCCATGTTAATTAGGAGCTAGAGATAC